AATGAACCGGTGCATTATCGACCAATAATAAAAATTTTCACTTTTGAAAATGCATTTTTTTATCAAGCTTTTGTAGATAATCATTCCATATACTGACTTGCATCCATGCTGATTGATTCCAATGATAACCAATTGACATATCGTTTTTATTTTTACCATTAAGTGAACGAGGATTTTTATATTTATATATAAATAATGATATAATTTCTCACTACCTGTAGCATTACATGTCAAAAGGATTGTTACTCTATTTTTTTGAATTTTATGGCTGGTGTTTCATTATAAATTAAATTTTACAGCTTTTCTCTTTCGCTATGCTTGTTATACTATTGAAGATTATAACGCAGTTGGAAGTTACTTAATCATCCACTGGAACCTGAAAATCAGTGATGTTGAGAAGATTTTAAATTGTCGCGCTTTATTCAAAAGAATGTCGCTGCTAATTGTTAAATTTGCAGTTTATGCTTCATGACCCATAATACCGATGCTTCTTCAAATTCTATATACTGAGGTCGTCTAACCCCGTTTTTTTTTTTGTTATCTTGGTCGCTTGGATCAACTGCTAGATATTCAGCTTTTTTTTAAAGAATATCACTTGCTGTATTCGGATAAAATTCCAAATTCTTCTACAAGTTTTTTGTTTAAAGAATTTAGATTTTGTTTCTTTTTTTAAACACGATTCTCTTTTTGTAATAAAAGTTGATGTAGTTTTTTTTTTGCTATTTTTATTAGAACTTGACATGGTTAAAGTAAAGATTGCAGTTGAATTTGTAGAAGATTAAACAAATTTGGGTGAAAATTTGTTTGATGGTGTGTAAACATTTATTTTTAAACCGAACTTTATCATTACACAAATCTTCGGCTTAGAAAGTTTTATTTGTACAATCAATTAGGTTTGGTTAATCAAGTAAGGTAGAAATTATATCAAGATTCGGCTTAATGAATAATCTTTATTAAATATGATTTGACTAACCAATTTGCATCATTATAAAGTGAAAATTGGTTTATGGTAGTTCGGTTTATCGAGATTTGATTGTGCGCGGATTGTTAAGGCTTCTGTGCCTAAGTTTCGGTCTCTTGTTACAGACCAACGATACGGTGTCATGTTGGTATATTAAAATAATGAAATTCAATATAGTCCAGTTTTTTTCCATGATTGATTGTACATCTTTGACTCGATCCTGTGAACAAAACTTGCTACTCCTGGACCAGCA